CGCGGCCCGGGGAACTTGGGGCGCGCTTTGCACGGTCGGGCGGGGGTTGCGGCCCGCGGGGCCCCGGGGCGCACTCGGCCCCCCGGGGCGGCCGGCCTGAGCCCGCTCCTCCGTGTTTCCGCAGAACGGCGACCTCAAGAAGCAGCTCCACGAAAGGCAGCCGCGGATCGCCGCGCTCAGCGACAAACAAGTAAGCGAGCTGGAGGCTGCGCCCCCCAACTCCGCCCGAGGTGGGGAGGAGGGGTCGCCCGGCACTTTGGCAGCCCCCTAAAAAAGTGCCGGCCTCGGCGCCGCACGCTCAGACTCCCAGAGGAGTCTGTCTGCAGCCCTCAAAGTTACCCGCCCCCCCCCCCCTTTTCTGGAAAGAAAGAGCCGGGTTCCTGGAGGCCGAGGGGGGCGAGCCAGCCAGGCTCCGGCAGTGGCCGAAAGAGACGAGCTGCACTCAAAAGGCGGCGAGCAGCCCGGCGTCCATTTTGAGTTGGTGGACATGTTTTTGGAATGTGGCAGTTTCTCCCGGCTCGGTGTCCCCCACCCCACGCCGGTGCGAGGGTAGGGGCGGCGGGGGGCCGTATTTGGGACCTGGACGCCAAACTACTTGGAAGCAGCTTCTGGATTCCATTGCGAACCTTATTTAAAGAACCTTCCCCCGGGCCTCCCCCCCCCCCCCTTCCTCGCCACTTCTCCAGCATCACTTTTTATTCTTGGAACCTGACGCCAGCTCCCGGGGAACAAAAGAAAGGCGCCCCCAGGACCCCCCAGTTCTGCCCCAACTTTGGTCTTGGGGCTTCAGGTGTAGATTGGGACTCCCGACAGCCGCCTCGCGCCGGGGGGAAGGGCTGGCACGGCCGCCGACCCCCCTCCCGGCCCCTCCGGGGAGGAAAAGTTGTCCATTGTGACTTAGTTGCGCTGAGCTCAGCGCTCGGGGTTTCAGCACCACGAACAGATGCCGCCGCCAGAGCGCGGCCGGCCGCGCGCCCCCGCCCCCTCCCTCTCTCCCTCCCTCCCTCCCCGCCGCCCGCGCCCCTCCCCCTCCGCCCCTCCCCCTGCGCGCCCCGCTCCCCGCACTCGCGCTCCCGCCCCTTCCCCCGCGCCGCCCGGAGCCGAGAACTTTGAGCCGCGCAGCCAATGGCGCTCCCGGGGCTCCGAGGCTGGCGGGGGGCGGGGGCGCCGGCGCCCCTCCCCGCGGCCCCTCCCCTCCGCGGGCCCGCCCCCGCCCCGCCGCGCCCCCTGGCCATCGATCGCGCTTCCTTCGGAATGCCGGCCGCCGCCGTCAGCACCAAACTTGGACAGCGCCGCCCCCGCCCCCGCCCCTGCCCCCGGTGCGGCCCCCTCCGGCCTCCCCCGGCTCGGGGCCGCGGGTCGGATGCCCCCTCCCCGGAGGGGTTTTCGGTGGCGGGAGAGACGTGGACGAGATCGGCGGGGGTGGCGGCGACCGCGGAGCGGGAGAACTCGGAGGCCGGGTGCAAATTTCGAGTCTTTAAAGTTGAAAAGTGGTGGGAGGGGGCGTGCTGAAGAGGAGGGGGCCGGAGGTCGCGCAAAGAAAGATGGCTGTGCCCGCGGGTCCGCGCCCGGTCGGGGGCGCCCGGCTGGACAGGCGGGTTGGGACGAATGCATTAACCCCTTTCTGACGCTGCCGCGGCACCCCCCTTCCAACCTCCCCCCCCCCCCCCGCCCTGCCCGGCCGCGCGCGCGCGCGCTCCCGCCCGCCCGGCCCGCGCCCCCGTCCAGGCGTGGAAGCTTCCATTCCCGCCGGAGGGGGGTCCGGCGCGCGGCCCCGGCGAAGTCGGGGAGTTCGCGGGGGGAGGGGACCCGGGCCCCGGCATTACCATTTTGATTGCTTTGATGCCATTTTTGGAGGGGGAGGGGTTGGAAGACCCTTCGCTGAGCACAAAGATGTTTAATCACTGTGTAGAATCAAATCAGATACTTTATTTGTATTTTATTGTTTTAAATCCGCCACCAAATCGGGTGCGGTGTGATAGCTGAGGGTTCCTAAGCTCTGTTTTCAGTGGGTAAAACGGCAAGTTGTTGACTCTTATGCTCGGAGTGAACGATTTAAGAGAGAGCGAGAGGGAGGGAGGGAGAATCCAGGAATCCAGCGGCTTCATCGCAACAATGTCTTTATGTGTGCTTCTACATGGCAATAGTTTTACTATTTGGAGTGGCTTTTCAGAGCTTAGGTCTGATCATTTCTTCTGTATTGTAGCAACTATGCCAGGGCTGTTTAAAATTTTATGTTGATAGTAAATGAGTAGCTATTTATTATCCGTCATGCCAGAATTTAGATGAGGCTGAGAGAAACATTGGAAAATTCTGTTTGGAGGCTCCATGCATCTCAGGGGAAGGAACTGTCCTACTCCCGGCTGCCTTTGCCTTTAAATTTGAACTCCGGGAAGGAAAGATGCTTGCGAATGGAATGCACCTCCATCTTTTTTGTGTCTGTGAGTGTGTGTCCAAAAAGAAGGAAAACAAGGAAAACTTTTGTTCTCTGGCCTTTTAAAAATGTTTCTCTTTTAAATGACTAAATATAACATCTGGTAAGCAGCCAGCGTTGGGCCTGGCCATCGGAACTTGTGTTTGGAACTGTCTGTTGTTGTTCCTTTTCCCTTTGTGGCATTTTATATAACAAGGGCTCATAAAAGAGGGAGGGGAGGGGGCCGAGGCCGTGGTGCAGCATGCTAATAAAGCTGCCTGGTCTCTCGCAGGCTCCGAGGTGAAATCTTTCAGAAGTCACCTATGAAATGAGTTGGGTAGACTTAACATTTACTAGTCTCTCTCTCTCCTTGGGAGAGTTTGGTGGTGATTGGCAGCTTGGTGGGGGGTGGGGGGAAGGTCCAGGAACAAGCTCTTGGAGGTGATTCCGGGCTGCACCCAGCGTCTTAAAGAGGGGCAGTGGGGCTCTGCCTGGGAGTGGCTGAAATGTGGGAGCAGGCATGAAAAAGCCAGTATTTTTAGAGTTTGTTTTTAACTCAACATGAAACTAAAGGTAGGGCTCATTTGTAGATTGGCTGGGGAAGAAACTCACCGTTTCCACCTCCGGAGATGTGTTTTCGTGCCGCTCCCTCTTGGAATGTGGGATGTAAAGGTTAAGTTTCAATTAAAAGTGCGTACGTGGATGATGAACTGGATGGTAAAGCGAACGGATGACCCCATTATCCACATCTGTTAGAAATACAATAGCAGCTGAGTAGCATCTTTGGGTGTCCTGCCATCAATTTCCCATTCATGCCCTTGACACTGGAATTTGTTCAGTTACGTCTAGAAACACAGACAAGTGTTTCAAGATGTTTACGGAGGACTCCTAGATGTAAATAGGTTAGTTGTCGGTTGGAAGCAGAGATACGAGTCCCGTGTAACTGTTCAGTGCGTCTCCCACCATTGATGGACCAGGGGATAAACAGGAAACCAGTGTCTGTGTGAAAACCGAGTTCATAGTTTTTTCTTTAAAAAAAAAAAAAAAAAATAGGAGGTGTGGGAGTTGGTCAGAGGCGAGTTTTGGGCCAGGCCGCATTCCCAGGTGTGGCCGCGCCTGGCAGCCGGGTTTTTTGATTTCAGTGGAGGAGGGACCCCTCGTCTTTAACGAGATATGATGTTTGAACACTCCATTAGTTGCTCGGATGGTTTTACGCCATGAATTTGCAGCACACGCAGAGAGGCAGTAACATTTTTATCTAAATTGTCAAGCAACAAGCACTTCCGTGTAAATAACAGACCCGTCAAAAATCCTGGGTGTCTTTTCTTTCTTTCTTTCTTTCTTTCTTTCTTTCTTTCTTTCTTTCTTTCTTTCTTCCTTCCTTCCTTCCTTCCTTCCTTCCTTCCTTCCTTCCTTCCCCCTTCCCTCCTTGAAGTTCTCAGCACGTTTAGATGCCACGTATCACGGGCATCTCTAGACCTGAACTGCATGAAGTTCAGCTTCACCACGGAGTGAGAAGAGCCTCCTGTGTTGACTGTAGTCCACGCCGGCGTGGCTTCGCGACAGAGACCCCGGAGGTGAACTTGGGGCCTTTCCTGCTGCTCGATCCATCGATTTGATGGACTCTGGATTCCGAGGGGCTGTCCTTAAGTGCAGCAATAAAAATATGTCTTCTTGAAAGGTATTATGTATGTGGCGTGCACCCGGGCGCTGAATCACGTCTTCACCGTGATTCACTAGCCGCGTTGGACAGCAGAGGAATTCTTCTTTGAAAGTATCCGCTGAACAAAACTGCAGGCTGGCTACAGTCCTTTGGTAAAAGGGTGTTGTTCCGTTTGCCAAGCTTTCCTTCCAGTCTGCCCCTCTCCAGGGGGGTCAATTTCCATCTTCCTGACTTAGCGTCGAAGAGGTCATGCTTCAAATAGTATCATTACTTTCTAGAGAGGAGCCTCGCGAAGCTCCGCACTCCGTCCCCCGCGGGGAAGAACGTGGCCTCGGATGGCAGGACCCAGCCCAGGTTTCGCCCGCTACCACGCTTCTTAGCCCGCAGCATCCCGAACCTACCCGCGCCCCCGCCCCCCTCACCTGAGCCCTGCTCCCTGAGTCCCCTCTTCCCCTCCCCCGACTCCCACCATCGTCTGTCGGTTGAGGATTGAGGCTGCCACCTCGCTGCATCTCCTGTGAAAACCCAAAACCCCCAAAGCGGCTTTAGTGAGGTACATGTCACATGTCATGCAATTCACCCATTTAAAATGCACAATTAAATGGTTTTTTGTGTATTCACAGACATGTGCGACTGTCCCCACCATCAACTTTAGAACATTTTCATCTCAGAAAGAAACCCCTGGGCTCTCGCTCCCCACCCCCACCCAGTCCTAGGCAACTGCTGATCTACCTTCTGTCTTTCTGGGGTTGCCTGTTTTGCTTCCCTGTGAATGGGATCGTACGACCGGCTTCTCTCACTGGACATAACGTTTCAAGGCTCACCCGAGTCGTGGGAGATGTTGGTGCTTCGTTCCTTTGTGCGTCTGAACGATACTCTGTTGTACAGATAGACCATATTTTGCCCGTCCGCTCACGGGTTGACGGACGTTTGGGTTGTGTCCTCCTCTTGGCCGCGTGAATAACGTATCGCGTCTCCTCTTGCCCCCCCTGGTATGTTCTGCCGGGCTCTGCTCAGGGCGGTCTCCATCCCACTCCTGCACGTGGCAATGCAGTCTCCGTGGTTGCTTTCCGGCGGCTTCTCTGGCACGTCGAGCAGTTTCCTGCCTTTACAC